TGGTGGGCGGTGGGGGGACAGCCTTGTGCACCATCCCCTGCCGGGTCTCTTGTATTTAATGCAGCTGGACGTGTCATGATCTTGTCCCAAGACAGCTTTTGGTATAAGTAGTTAAAGATGTCCAACGGCAGCAGCTTGAAGTCTTCTCAGGCAAACTGTGTCTTTGTTCTCCTTTTCAAGATTTTTAAAGATTCTGTGATGCACCCAGGTCTTCCTTCCTATATCAGCTCAGTGCTTCTTGTCTTGCCCACCTTAGATGTGGAAAACAAATTATTTTTTTTCCTTTCTGCAGCAAAATTTATGAATTTGAAGACTGAGCACACCACCTCGTTCATCCTTACTTGCTGAATCAAAGTAGCCTTATTTAGCAGTCTTTTCTTGCAGATCATATTTTGGAGCCCTCGGTCGTTCATGTTTTCTGGTTTTTAGCCACTCTTCAGTTGTTTTATTTGAAATACAGCATCTGAAGCAGGACACGTGATGCTGCTGAGTTCTTCAGAGCACTTAACTGGAGTTGTAGGCTGCTTCCTCTGTCTCCTCTCTTGCAGTGTTTTGCATCTGAGTGTAATATTGTGTTCTCTGAGCTCCCTATCCCTTTCACAGAAGTGCTACATAAGGGATTTATATTCTGCATTCATGCACTGTGTTAATCCTGTCTTTTGCCCTTACTGAATCACTACTTCTGTGTTTCCATTTTGTTGTATTGTTCTGAGTTGCAGACTTTTGGTGTCTCTGCTGTCTCTTTCCCACCTTGGAGGCACCTGCAAGTGTCCTAAGTGTACTCTGTACCTTAAATCAGGTCGTTAATGGGAGTAATGAGTCTTACCAGGATCAGAACAGATTGCTCACAACTCTTTCTTTGTTCATCCTTCCATTTGGGTGACAATTGGATTACAGCTCCCCCAGTTCAGCTTTTCAAACTGCTTTGCTTCTGTGCTTTTTGATTTAGATTGCGTTTCCCTATTTGCTTATGAGAACATTGTGCTAAAGAATTTCCAGACAAACAAAACCCGGAAGTTATAACCGTGTCTTTTCCTCTGTAAGACCCATTCTGTCAGTTAGCAAAGTTCAATTGATACGATGGAGCCTGCTCTTGGCAAGTTTATAAACTTACAGATAGCTTGTTGATTTTTTTTAATACTTTGTATTCAGTTCCCATTAAACTGGCTGCCCTGACTGCCCGATTTCCTCCTTTAAAGAAGGGTATCAAGCTGGTCCTTTCGTAGTCTCCTATGCCCACAGCCAGCTGTCAGAAATTCTATCAGTGTGTGTTCTCACCATACTTTTTTTGCCAGTTTTCTGTGTAGTTTCAGGTCATGTTCCTCAGGCTTGGTTGACATGAAAGCAAATAAATACTTTCCAGTCCTTCACTACCTGAGAGAGAGATATCTTTCCCCTTTGCCTCTCTCTTTAATTCTGTTAGCCACTTGATTGCATCTAGTCCTTTTAGGGAAGACTGGATGAATCACGCCCTGCTCTCTCTGCTGTGTGGTGTATCAGCCTTGCTTTTGGTCTTTCTCTTACGTTTGGTGTGCTATATAAAGCTTGGCCGCTGCAGGTTGTATCTTATTCAGTGCCTTGACTTTCTTCATTTTGTCTCACGCTCATACTACGTGTCTGTATGTGCTCTGCATAAGGTGGCCGTATATCTGCTTCTTGTCTCCTGGCTTGCAGCTGGGTGTTGTGCACTGATGTGCTTATTAGGTTAAGGAATGACTGTCTTTAATTTGTAAACCAGGCTCCTAAGAGATTTCCTGCTAATTCTCTGAGCTTACTGAGGTCTACCTGAAATCTGTCAATGTTTTTTTTTGGCTCTTCTAGTCTCCTGCCTTAGGAAGAGGAACCATCATTTGCATCTGGAAATAACTGGGCATATAATAGTTTCCAAGCTTTTACTTAATGTTTTCCTCCAGGAGGAAATCCCTGGAGATCAGAATCAATCCTAGAAGACCCTTCTTTCTTTTTTTTTTTCTTTTCCTGTCCTCACAAATTTCATACACAGCAGAGACCTGCTTGGACGGTCTAGGACAGGGTCTACCTCGCCTGCCTTAACTGCGTACAAAGCAGGTCTGTAACCTCAGTTCCTGGTGCCCGTCTTTCTTCTAACCCGGAGGGAGTTACCCAGCGGATTCTCTGGATAGCTCTGACTGAATCCCATCAGCCCTATGCTCTTCCTAAAGGAGCACAGGCCAGAGGAACTCTCATGTAACCACCAGCTCTGTGATTCTGCCAGTTCTCGATCTGACCCCCTGTCTGCTTTCTAGTGCTCACAAGTCACCCACCAGGATCCTCCTCCCCTTCCGTCACCACCCAGGGACTCTCAGCAGTGTCCGCTCTTTGCCTGTTACCCGGATCTGTAGTATAAGGTGATGCATCCTCCCCTCCGTCATCCTTCTACCTGTGTTTCCTGAACAAGCTACTCCTTCTGGCAGTAATAGCCATTTCTGTGAATTAGCCGTCCGAGGTCTCTACTACATCAATGAAATTGTAGCGTCATCCATGCATGGAGTGTTCGAATGGTCGCTTACTTTTGTGAGCCATTTCACACCATCCAAATTCTGCTTCCATTTTTGATTCTGGAGAGGTGTTAAGTCTCCTAGCTGAGAACTGAGTGTAGTATTTGATGGCTCCAATAGGTAGCAGCATTACACACGTTTGTGTCAGCTTCGCTGTGCTATAAAGACATCACTGAAGGTGGAAGATTGGAAGTAATTTCTGTTAAAAGGATGCCTTGAGGTTGAGGGTTGTTTCTTGTTTGGTTTTGAAGCTTAATATTCGACTGCATCAGAGCACTTCTACTTCCAAAGCTGTCTTACTCCCCTGCTTGCAAAGAATCACAGCTCAAAACACAAATGAGATCATACCTGCTTTAATTATTGCTGACCATATTTGCTTAACCATAGGCTTGAGGTCAAGGTCCTAATTATTCTGGACAAATGTAGACACAGTTCTTGCAAATTAGTAGTTTAAAGTGCTGATCCTAAAAACATTTAAGTACATGAATATGTGCAGGTGAAATTAGGTAATACTCACAAAAGGGGAAGATTCTATCCAGGGGCAATGATTGTATTTCACAATTACATACCTGAGTAAAAGCTGCTGTCACAGGAAAGAAAAATATATGTGTGCGTATATATGTATGATTGTATATATATTTTCTTTCAAGAGAAAGAACAGCTAAGATGCATTATTAAAGCCCTCCAAGAAAATATCCTGAAATCCTGTTTCCAGTGTGCTTGGAGTGGTTGAAACGTAGCTCTTCTCTGAAAAATAAAGCGATAAAGGTGCCTGGTGGGCATTACGTTCAGAGTTCTCCAGTGATTCCTCCCAAGGGTCTTACTTGAAAAGAGGTGTTTCCCGACAGCCAGCGCAGCACAGATCATTTAGGGCTCAGAGATTTGAGCAGGGTATTTTCCTCCTGGCACATGGTTATCGATTGCACGGTGGCTGCAGCCTGCGCTGTGCTGTCAGCGTCGGCTCCAGAGTCCCCACGGGGCTTCGGGGAATTCCTTTGATGTCACTCACAGGTTGAAGTGTCTGGGTCGTGGGGAGAGATTCCAGCTGGGATGAAGAGAGCCAACAATACAGAGAAATTGAAACGGCAGATGAACGGAGAAGGGTTGCGAGCGCATCTGAGCCTGTTACCCACCTTGCTGGCCCCGTTCCACCCAGAGAAGACCTGTGGAAGGGAGGAGGGAGTTACATTTCCCAGCTAACAAGCAGCTCCTCTGCCCTGCAGAAGGGCGGCCATGAGTACCAGCGATGGGCTAATGCCACAGAGAGCTCTGTGCCAGTCTCTTGCTACCTGAGAGCACTGGGGAGGGATCCATAAATGCATTAAAAAACGCTTGGAGTTGATGGGGATGCAGGCACTTATAGGTGGGGTTCAGGTTTTCTAACATGAGATGGCTGCAAGAGATGTCTAGATGTGAATGCATCGCCCTCCTGTGAGCGCAAATGGAGACTCATAGAATCACAGAATGGTTTGGGTTGGAAGGGACCTTGAAGACCACCTAGCTCCAACCCCCCTGCCCTGGGCAGGGACACCTCCCACCAGCCCAGGTTGCTCCAAGCCCCGTTCAACCTGGCCTTGAACACCTCCAGGGATGGGGCAGCCACAGCTTCTTGGGGCAACCTGCGCCAGAGGCTCACCTCCCTCACAGGAAAGAATTTCTTCCTTATATCTCATCTAAATCTGCCCTCTTCCAGTTTGAAGCCATCCCCCCCAATCTTATAACTACAATCCCCTGTAAAAAATCCCTCTCCAGCTTTCTTATAGGTGCCCTTCAGATACTAGAAGGCAGCTGTGAGGTTTCCCC